ATGTTATAACTTTATACAACGCGTTGTATTATGATTTGATAGTAGTTTTCATTCTAATTTAATTTATTTAGATATTAAATCAGAATTTTATAAGTTATGTTTTGTCTTGTAAGTATGTTGATTTACATGCACTAACTAAGCACATTCCGTTAGTTTAACGTCAAAATATGGAGAGAAGGACTAAATTAATATGAATTACATAGATTAGGGACTAAAATGATAGATTTGTTAGTTCAAGGACCAAAATGATATGATGCCGATAGTTTAGGGACTAGTTATGCATTTTACTCTTTATTTTAACCTATCAACTTAGAAAAACATTAATTAAATTATTATAAGTAATGTTTTCCTTTTAAGTATAAGATAATCAGACTAACAATTGAGCTGGGGAATTTTCTCTCCACTATGTAACGAGTTTAGGTGTGAGATAAACCGACTAACAATTGAGTGTGAGAATTTTGTTTCTCATATGTAGAACTTTTAGATGTAATATAAGATAAATCGGCTAACAATTGAGCGAGAGAATTTTCTTTCTCGTAAGTAGTGGTTTTGGTATAGGAAGATAAGCTTGCTAATAATTGAACGTGATTACTTTTCACTCATATTTAGTTATTTTAGTATGAGATAAGCCGTCTAATTAATAATTGAGCGGGATAATTTTATCTATCATATGCAGTATTTTTATGTATAAGAAGATAAACTTGCTAATTTTTGAGCGGGATAACGTTCTCTCTCATATGTACTTCTTTTAAATATGTAGTATAAGATAATTCGACTAACAATTGAGCGGGAGAATTTTCTCTCACATGCGTAGTGCTTTTAGGTATAAGATAGTTTTTATAAACAATATATCAAAATTCATAATGAATATGATCTTTCTTATGAAAGCACATGCAATTGAAGCCTAACAATTGAGCGGGAGAATTTACTTTATCATGAGTAGTGGTTTTGTTATAAGAAGATTAACTTGCTAATAATTGAATAGAAGAATTTTATCTCTCAAATGTAGTGTTGTTATGTATTACGGAGTAAAAGATAAGCTGACTAACAGTTGAGCGTGGAATGGAGCAGGAGATTTTCTCTCTCATATATAGTGCTTTTAGGTATTAGAAGAGAGACTTGCTAACAATTAAGCATGATTACTTTTCTCTCATATTTAGTTATTTTAGTATAAGATAAGCCGCCTAATAATTGAGCGAGATAATTATATATCTCATATGCAATATTTTTATGTATAAGAAGATAAGAAGATAAGTTTGCTAACATTTGAGAGGGATAACGTTTTCTCTCATGTGTAGTTCTTTTAAATATAAGATAATTCGACTAACAATTGAGCAGGAGAATTTTCTCTCCCGTGCGTAGTGCTTTTAGGTATAAGATATGCAGTATTTTCATGTATAAGAAGATAAGAAGATAAGTTTGCTAACATTTAAGTGAGATAACGTTCTCTTTCATATTTAGTTCTTTTAAATACGTAGTATAAGATAATTCGACTAAGAGTTAAGCGGGAGAATTTTTTCTCCCATGCGTAGTGCTTTTGGGTATAAGATAAGCCGTCTAACAATTGAGAGGAATAATTTTCTCCCTAACATGTAGTGCTTTATGTATAATAAGATAAACTTGCTTATAATTGAGAGGGAGAAATTTTTCTCTCATATGTAGTGCTTTTAGGTATTAGAAGATAAACTTGCTAACAATTAAGCGGGGAATTTTCGATCTTTCACATATGTAGTTCTTTTAAGTATATAGATAACCCGGCTAATATTTAAGCAGTAGAATTTTCTATCTCATACGTAGTGATTTAGGTATAAAATAATTCGGCTAACAATTGATCAGAATAACTTTATCTCATATTTAGTTCTTTTAGGTATAAGATAAACCGGCTAACAATTTAGCAGAATAGTTTTCTCTCTCATATGTTAGCACTAATTTAACTAATGAGTAGCAAGTTCTTATTCAACTAATATTTGTTAATTTTAATATTTTGTGTTCACTTAAGTTTTATGTCATTCACTTATTGTACTCACCTTTTTAGAATAGTATTTAATTTTAAAATTAATTTAATCATCAAAATTAAATAGTAGCAAATTCTAATGAGTGGTGTCAAATTGTCAATTAATTTTCCGTAAGATACTCTTCATCGAACATTTATTGTGTGTGTATTAGGTTATTATACTCTTAATTTTCGAAAATGTACAATGCTAAAAAGTTATTTTTATTTTAATATTTAATTAGATTCGGAGTTGAAATATATGCACCAACTGCTTTTTCTCGTGCGTATGCACGGGTACTATACTAGTAAAGGAATGACGATAATTATGTCAATTAACAAAACGGTTATTAAAATAAGGCTATAATCGTTTTATTTTCAATGTAGAAGTTATATATGTCCATTATTCTCATTCTACCATCTTCCTATAATTTCTTAATATATTTATTTTATTAATAAGAAAATAATGTTTCTATTTATAATTAAAATACGGAGTATAACATAATAAAAATATTTATAAATTAATAATAAAAGCAGGAAAAAATAGAATAAAAAGAAACAAAACAATAAAGAATAAATTAAAAGTAATTAAAATTTTAAAAAGATACCAAAAAAATATTAAAAATATGTAGGTCTATGTCGACGCAGCATCCTCCGTCTTCCAACACCACTAGCTTCCACCACCGAAAAATAACATCTTGTGTAAAAACTATCACATTCCATTGAAAATGTCATTAAGATTACATTTTTACTTTTTGAAAATATTCAATTTTCTTTTCAAAATTACCATTACAATGACAAATTTTGGAGGTTGACATTCTTTTTCGGCGATTGGGAATGGTGGTGCCGGAAGGTGGCTAAGGTGGTGGTTAAAGCTTGTATTTTTATTGGTTTTTAACTTTTTATATTTTTTATTTTTTATGTTTTATTATTATTTAAAAATCCTACAAGGCCTGACAAGGTAAAAAGTATTTTACCTTGGGAATTTAAGGTAATTTTTATGTTTTAGGTATAGTTGATCTAACTTGGGAATTTAAGCTTTATGCTCTTATTGTTACAATTTGCTTTTATTTACTCCTATTTGTGACTTTGTATAGTGTAATAACCATATTAATAAATTTATAAATTATTGTGTCAAGTCTACATTAAAGTAACCATTACGATTTACTCATACTAATTTTAATCGAATTGTCATATACTCCCTCCGTTCCCAAAAAACTTCTCACTTTTCTTTTTGGGCCATTCTCAAAAATACTTCTCACTTTCCCATTTTGAATAATTTGTATGGCTTACATTCATTTTACCTTTTTCTTATACAACTACAACTAGGGTTGTATACGAACCAAATCGAGTCGAATAACGTGATTTTGTATTTGTATTTGTTTAATTTTTTCGGATACGAATCTGAATTCGAATATTAAACAAATTTTGTTTTTTATTTGTATTTGTTTAACAATACGAATAGTTAATGAATCATATACGAATATCAAATCGATTTGATCATAAGTTAAATATTAGTCAAATATCACTTTAAAACAACTTTTCCTATATTTCTTATGTTATAAATGCATGCTATGACTTAATACCCGTATGCGTTTTTAGAATATAGTTTGTCACATTACATTTTAAAAAAAAATAAAGGATCGATGCATTTTTAGGTTGTGCACAATATAATCAAGTGAATCAATTTTATGATTACGATACATAAATATATTTTAACTTTTTTAAAATAAACACTAACACACACATATGAAAAAAGAAAAAAAACTTGTAATGTGTGAAATAAATTGATAATTGTATATATCAAAGTCAAACGATTTTAATTTTATGTTAGATATTTAACATTGTTGATACTAAAAACACACCATTAGATACATATATTTTATACTACACTCATATAGTTGGCAGTTGATGCACACACACATTACTAGATAGTTGATTTTGTTTATGTATAAACGAATATATAATTCATTACTATTCTGATTAAATACATAATTGTATGTACTCATATTTTGAAGATTTTGAACTGCACTTTTTATTTGAATTTGTATTTATATTTCATATTTTCAAAATTAAATCATAATTTATGAGTCCAAATCACAAATCGAATTAAAATTATTTGTTTCATTTACAATCCTTACTCGTTATGATACTTCTGATTTATTACAAATTGACTTGGAATTTGTATACGTAAATGTATATATGGGCTACACTTTTAGAGTATAGCTAGCTTTTAAAAGTTTTTTTTTACTATTATTACTATTATTATTATTATTATTATTATTATTAGAATCAACACTATTATTAATCGAATATATTTGATTAACATTCGAATCGAATATAATGATATTTGTATTTGTATTTGATAACAATTCGAATCAAATTTATTATTCATATTTAATTTGTATTTGAATTTTTTGAATTCGAATCGTCTTATACGAATTCGAATCTTGAATCGAGCATAAATTATTTGATTCGTATACAACCCTAACCACAACCATACATTTTCATTTTATTCCATTTTCTTAATAGGCGTGCCAAGTCAAACCGGGAAAGAGTTTTAGGAATGGAGGTAGTATATGTTCAAGTATGACATTTTTTCTGTCCTGCTAACATCTCATAAATAATTTGGTTTGGTAAAATTTGTGTGATTTAAACCATTATTCCTTTATTAATTCAATATATAAATCACATAAACTGATTTTTGTTAAAACCACTCCACCCTTATATTCTAAGGATATTAGTCACACTAAGGTAGTAGTAATATTTAGAAGTAAAACTTCTATCGAAATCACCATTGATCTTATTTCCAATTATACGATCTATAGTACGGAATACTGATGTTTCTATGAACACCAATTTATCCTTGGTATCGGCTTTCTATCTTTTCCAAATTCCATGTGTTACAATATTGTAAAAGCTTTTTTTATATCACAAATGCTTGATTTTTTTGAAAAAGTATAAAGCAAACATGCTTTAACTTTTGCAATTTTTACCCACATATTACCTGGGTAGCTTAGCTAGAAGCTAGATTCGTGGAAATGGAATAGAAATTCATCTCATAGTATAAGTAATTCAATCTCCAGCAAATAAATTGATTTAACTAAGTAAAAAAATGATGCAGGGAATAGAGGAATTATGGGGGAAATTGGGTTCTGGGGTGGTGACATTGTTGGTTCTCTGGGCAACCTTCGACAAGTACTTCCCCTCCGAGCTCCGCCATTTTTTCAAGAGATACGTCAAGAAATTCAAGGGCGTAGTCAACCCTTACATTCAAATCACCTTCCCCGAGTTCTCCGGCAATGGCTTCCACCGGAGCAAGGCTTACCCGGTGATCGAGCGTTATCTCTCGGCTAATTCCTCCGCCGAGGCCAAGTGTCTCAAGGCAGAGGACACCATTGACGGCTCCTCTCAGACTACTCTCGTTTTCAGCATGGACTATCACGAGGAAATCACCGATGACACATTCGCTAAAAATGCAGGGGCGGATGCCGGATTCAAAGTCTGGTGGACCTCCTGCCGGGACGAACCGAACCGGCAGAACATGCCTGTTTCTTTCTTTGGCGGCACCCGCGGGGCAGACGATGGAGGCAGGCGGTATTTCACACTCAAGTTCCACCAGAGATACCGGGATGTCGTCACCGGAGCTTACCTGAAGCATGTACTGCAGGAGGGGAAGGAGATCGCCGTGAAGGACCGGCAAAGAAAGCTGTACACGAACTGTACAAACAGCGGCGGGGGCTACAACCGGAGCACGTGGATCCATGTGCCCTTCGAGCATCCCGCCAATTTTGAAACCCTAGCGATGGATCCTGAGAAGAAGAAGGAAATCGTGGACGATCTCCTCAAGTTCAAGCAATCCAAGGACTATTACGCCAAAATCGGGAAGTCCTGGAAACGCGGGTACCTCCTCTACGGGCCTCCCGGCACCGGAAAGTCATCTATGGTGGCTTCCATGGCGAACCTTCTCGAATACGACATTTACGATCTGGAACTGACGGCGGTGATGGACAATACCACGCTCAGGAATCTCCTAATCGACACCGTCGGTAAGTCGATCATCGTCATAGAAGACATCGATTGCTCCCTAGACCTCACCGGGCAACGGAAAGGGTCGAATCTCGAGAAGAATCTCCGCAAAAACGAAGAGGAGATGAATCCGAAGACAACGAGCCAAGTTTCTCTATCTGGTCTCCTGAACTTCATTGACGGACTCTGGTCGGCCATCGGAGGAGAAAGGCTCATCGTCTTCACCACGAATTTCAAGGAAAAGCTGGATCCGGCTCTGATTCGGAGTGGGAGGATGGATAAACACGTCGAGCTTTCCTACTGCAGATTCGAAGGGTTCAAGGTCCTTGCTAAGAACTACTTGGACATCGAAGGGCACTCTCTCTTCCCCAGGATCGAGCAGCTGTTGACGGAAAGGGACATGACTCCGGCGGATGTTGCAGAAACTCTGATGCCCAAATCTCCGCAGGACGATGCCGCCACTTCTCTCCGAAGACTTGTACAAGCTCTAGAAGCAAAGAGTTTTGACCCAAAATTAGACGGCCCATTAGTCAGGCCCAACGCTCTTAGCCCGTGCTCAAGTCCGACCCGACTCAAGCTGCACCCGCACGTGTGGGATGATGTTTCAAATCACCTAATGTGATACTTGAGCAATTCTCATTTTCACATTTAAATACGTAGTAGTTTAAATAAAAGGAATAAATTTTCTCTCTACTTACACAATATAGCAATTATCCTTATGTATAGAGTAACTATTTATTTTACCTAATAAAAGAAGTAAACATGCACTAAATGAGCTAAATATAGGAGACAAACAAGGTGATATAATTATTGGCTATTAATTGTGATTAGATGTGATTAAAATAACTTAGTGAGAGGGAAACAAATTAGGCTTCCAACTAAGTATGGGTAACTTTGAGGTAAACTTTGGTTCGCTTCAAGTTTTAGTATGTTCTTACTTGATCTGTTTTCACGTTCATATCGTACCTAATCGGACCAGATAAGACTAGATCACACCAGATCAAATTAGATCAGATCAGTTTAGACCAGATCAATCTAGAAAAATTCAGTGTATTATTAAAAAATATTGGTAGTGTTTGGTTTGAGTCAATGGAAATGCAAGCGATGGTGTAACACTGAGACATGTTTCAACAAGAATATCAAGTTCATATTGTCTAAGATAATGCGTGAGTGGGTTTGAGTAATTTCTACTTTCTTGTCTCAAGAAGCACTTCATCACACAAAGATCCTGGATGGGGAATATTTGTGTCATTTTTCTAACTGTAATTAGGGATGAATTGTTACATCTAAGAAGTAGATTATCAAAAACTATACAAAGATAACATTATTTCAACGGAAAGTAAACAATGATTAGTCAAAAACCATATATCTTAACTGTTTTCGTGAGTTTGTAGGACTAGAACTTAGGGCGATGCACTTGTAACAGTGGAAGGAGAATGTATTTTCACATAATTAAACATGGGGATTATGTGATACCCGGGTTTGAAGTTTGAACTTGGGGATAAGGCTCAAATTGGACACTATGATTTCATCAGAATCTCATATTGGACACTAAGGTTTCAAATGGACCAAATTAGACACTATGGTTTCATATGTATCTCATATCGGACACTAAAGTTTCATAATTCAATATAAGTGAGTGTCCAATTTGATCTTTATCCAATATAAGTGAGTGTCCAAAAATGGGTAATTTGATTTTGCACCCTAATTTATTGTGTAAATTGGACTTTGCATCTCATTTTTAAAATACTTTGTTTTTGCACCCCAACCCAATATGAAATGACAAAAATGCCCCTTCATTAACAATTTTGTTGACCTTCAACATATTCTTGATTGAGGGCATTTTTGTCTTTTCATATGGGGTTAGGGTGCAAAAACAAAGATTTTTAAAAATGGGGTGCAAAGTCCAATTTTGACAATAAAATGGGGTGCAAACTCAAATTATCCCAAAAACTATGAATTATGAAACTTCAGTGTCCAATATGAGATATATATGAAATCATAGTGTCTACTTTGATATATTTGAAAACTTAGTGTCCAATATGAGATTCTGATGAAACCGTGTCTTATCCCTTTGAACTTGTGATACCGAGTTTGGATCGTAGAGATCCTGATAAGTTGGAATTATATATGCGCTTGATTTTGACTGATTGAAAATGTTACCTTAATATCCATTATTATTGTTTTTTTTTAAATTAACTTGTACAGTTGTACGGAGTATATACTAAGTCCAGATGAGCTTTTTTCTCATAGAGGATGGACACTAGGGGTGCTAATAATTTAGCAAGCGAACTTGTAAGTTACTCAAGATCAACTTGGTTCTTGATTTAGCTAGCCTAGCTTAGGATGGCAATTTAACCTGACCCGATGGATACCCGCACCGAACTGAACCGGTCAAAATGGGGAAAACCATTTTGACTGGGTAACGGGTACGGGGCGGGGAATACCCGATTTATGTAAACGGGTAATGGGGCGGTTATGGGTTTATACCTACCCGCCCCGTTACCCGCCCCGTTTAATTTGGATACGGTTACCCGCACCATTACTCGACCCGCACAATTAACTTATATATTTTAATAGTTTATGTATTTATTATTTAATATATTAAGTATATATGAATATTAGTGCATTAGTATATGACACTTATTCTCTCTAGTACTTTGAAACAATATTCAACTTATCGGCTATCCTTTGCAATTCTGATGATCGAGTTGGTGCTCAAAGTTCACTATTTTAGATTTTAAATTTTCAATATCATTCATCATCCTTCCTTTGTTAACTTCTATAATATTCCTTCAAAAAAAACTCTAAAATATTTATTTTCTTCACATATTGATTATTTGATTTTCGTGACTTTCTTTACGCAATTTCCACATTGTGACTCTCTTAGTTTTTCACCCAATAACTTTCATAAAACTCACGTATGAGTTTAAAGTCAAAATATTGCGAAACATTACTCTAGCTTGCTTTAATTTATGTAATTGCTAATAATTTTGTAAAGGTGTATTGGATGATTAGATTAACTTTGATTGGTTGCTCTAATTTATATCAAGTTTTAAAATTTAAATTATGCTTTTGTTCTAAAACAGTAACTACAAGAATACCTAAATCATAGTATTAGAAGTGCCTTTTAAATAATTCCAAATCTATAATCAAAATAAAAGTTGTGGACAAAAATGCGATTCTAGTAACTTTAGTGTTTATAATTTTATTCAAATGTTATGTCGTAGTGATTACAAAACTTACTCATGGTAACTTATAGTCATATTTATGTTCATATCTTTTTTATTAGAGGTATTTTAGGGGAAAAACTTCCCATTTTCATTATGTTACTTGTATACATTATTGTTCTTAAATTAATTTAGATGTTGAATGTTGGTGGGGGTATGCTTATTGAATGTTTGGAAGTTAAATGTTTTTGTGATTCATATTTAGTTTTTACTATCGAGACAAGACTTACTCTTTTGATGTTGATGTGGTAAGAGATTCAATTTGAATCTAGACATATATAATTTGTGAATATTAGATTCAAACGATTGTAACTTTTTGTCATGTTTTAAAAAACTTTATCTGTGGTACTATTTAATTTTAATTTTTTTTTTTAATTTAAGTGGTCAATGATAAGTAGTTAATAATCATTTTAGGATCTATACTAGTTTTGAAAGAAAAAAATTATTTTTTAATAAAACGGTTACCCGCGGGGAAACCGTTACCCGCGGGGAAAACTGTTACCCGCGGGTAAAAAATACCCGACGGGTAACGGGGCGGTTTCGGGGAATTTTTTATCAAACGGGGCGGGTACGGGTAATGGTATACCCGACCCCGAACCGCCCCGTTGCCATCCCTAGCCTAGCTTGACTCCATATAAACTTGACTCACTCGTAGTTGGCTCAAACCCCAAAGTCAAATTAAAGCAAGTTATGTGAGAACTCCATTTAAAAAGTTCACAAGCTTCTCAATTATGAGTTAATATTGATTTTTAAAATTCAACATTACATTATATATTTATAGTCATGATTCATACTTCATACATATCCTTCTACCTAAGATATACTAGAGTTTCACGTACTCCTCAATGTTTTCATCAATGTTCTAAAATTGTTGTGCAGATTTTAATGCATGTCTAGGCGATGCTTGTTCATAGGAATAAGCTAGAGAGCGGTGGCAATTAGTAAAAGTGAAAATAGTGCAAGGATTACAAAAGAGTTGATGACTTATTTATAAGCGTTTACAATAAATGCTATTTGGGTTTGATTCATTTATGAACCAATACTGATGTTAATGAGCCAGCCGGTCCAATAAGCAATTACGTAATCCGAACGGCTTTTCTCTAGAGGGGCCGTGTTTTGGGCCTGGTGGGGCCCATTCATGGGTATACGCCTATACGGGTCGGCAATATGTGGCCCGGCATATTATCCCAACAATATTCAAGCAGATTTAAGCAAGATTAATTTGAGATTTAAAAATATCATACTACGTAGATCACAAAGAGAGGTCTAATGTCTAAACGTTAACTAGGCGGACAATTTTAAAACACAGGTTCTATGTTTAAAAAATATAGGGATAAGGGTCAGATAGGGCCTCGAACTTGAAAAAAAATGTCAAATAAGGTCATATTTAGGATGCTCTGTCTAGCCGACACCATTTGGGGTGCTTCCCGGTGGAATTTTTTAATGAAATTTTTTGAGCATCTTCCACATTAAGTCTAGTTTACCCATACCAAATTTCAGCTAAAAATTCAACTGAGAAGGCAGTCAAATGATTTTTTGAAGATAACTGTGAAGTTAAACAACGCAGTACGTTTCGGAAAATCATTTGACTACCTTCCCGGTTGAATTTTTAGCTGAAATTTGGTATGGGTAAACTAGACTTAATGAGGAAGATGCTCAAAAAATTTCATCAAAAAATTCCATCGGGAACCGCCCCAAATGGTGTCGGCCAGACAGAGCATCCTAAATATGACCTTATTTGACATTTTTTTTCAAGTTCGAGGCCCTATCTGACCCTTATCCCAAAAATATATTGATGATTGCAAATGTGTGTTTAAATGTACTACCTCTGTCCCATTTTATGTGTCCTGGTTTGACTTGACACGGTTATTAATGAAGTGGCTGGAAAAGTAAAAGTTGTGGTTGAGGTTTGAGTATAATAAATTGAAATGGTGTAGACCACATATTTCTTTTCAAAAGAGGAAAGTAGACACTTATTTTGAAACAGCCCAAAAAGGAAAATAGGACAGATAAAATGGGACGGATAGAGTAACAAAACTCAAATACAACTTGACCTCGAACTTAAGTCACATTACATAATTTTTTGACACGACTGAAACTTGACTCGAAGTGGAATTCGAGTTTTCTTTATCAAGTATAAGTCATTTTAATCTGAACTCAAACTTGAACTCGACTCATTTGATTAGCACGACTTGACATGACCGAATATCACACCTGGGCACTAACATCTAGGGAGCGACTTAGGCCCTGGCCCACCTCATATTTGAAAAATACCTTTATTATTATTATTGTAAGAACTTGTGTAAGAAAGTCCAAAAATATATTTGCACCGGCCAAGTGCGCTAACCACGCCCAGGCACCTGGGCCACCCAACGCGAACCCAAGGCGAACTTAGACATACTCTCTTTGTCTTTGGATTATCTTCCAATTTTTCTTTTCGTCCAAAAATAATCCTCTTTCCCTTTTGGCAAGAATTTTCACTTCACGGCATTTTTTTACATATATCTCTCCACATCACAACTCTCCACATAATTAGCGTATGAATTACAAAACACTAATCCACTAATCCTAGTGGGTGAATGGTACCTAATCTCCATACTCGAATTGACAAGTAGATCTCTACCTATGTGTACCTATGGTACTCTGAATCATTGTGATTGATGCACATGAACAAAGATATGGTACCTTAGAATTTACCAATAACATATTGACAAGTATTTTTAACAGTGTCATGTTAGACACGGATATCGGGATATGACACGTATAACATCTTAACACAAGATTCAGAGTAATTCATATAATCAACGATAATTAAGCGTGAAAACCATACTGTTATAGCACGTAGCTGGAACAGTCTACTCCTATATTTAGACCATCAAGAGAAGCTCAAATGTAAAAATTGGCCTGATACATTAAGTAAAAGGAAAACAAAAGGGATGGCAGGGGAGAGGGCCAAGATATTATATTCCTGAATTTGGGAGGACGTTCCAGCAATCAAAACCGCAGGTGTCCAGCGAGGGTAACCAGAGGAAACTCCCTTGGCATTTTCAAACAAAGGCAGAAAGGATGTTCTTTTTTAGAGTGAGCTCATCAGCCTTTGCAGGACTAATTGACTGCACATAAAATATCCAGGAAATATTCGTGAGAATGGTGCTCAGCACATTTACTTTCAACTACAATATCACTACCAAATCTAGTTTTGTTTTTATAATGACAAATTATTATACTCATAGTACTTCATCAAAGGAAAGATGAACAAAGGCAGTTCTACAAAAATTAGTACAAAAAACTTCGAGTCCCCCATCCATTGCCCAATACCATAATACAACTGAAACTAGTCAAAGACTTGGGGTATAGCAAACCATTTTTTTCCTAATGAGTCCAAACGAGAAAAGAAAATGGGGAAAAAAGGCAGAAGGAATATGTGGACCAGATATAAGCAGTTCCAAACAATATGGCACACTTGAAATGGCAACTGTCGAAACAACATACCTTGGCAAGTATGCGTTCTAACCGCTGAATTTCATTCTTGGCATAGTCAACTCCTTTATCCATGCAACTCTTGGCAGCTTTTGCATAGATACTGCCATATCTGGGGCAAAAAGAGATATAGCAAGGAGCCAAGGTCATAAATCACCACATTGTCTAACTAATACTTCGTAAGTTCACCAGTAATTGAGTAAGGTTTTGCAGACACTATGTACCTTCTAGAAGGACCTGACAGCTTCTCAATTTCTTCCTCCAGTTTACCGAGTACAACCTTCTTCTCTGCATCATCAGCACTCACAAACTCCTTGACCAGGTTAACCAGGTCGTCAACAACTCCAGCCTGAACCATGACAATAGTTTTGAAAACTTAAGAAGGTGACTGAAACAAGTTTAACATGAATTGTTGCATGCCCCTATGCTACTAACCTTAGAAGTAAGTTGCCCTTTGGCATCACGGTTAGTGCCACACTTCTCATTAATGAAGTTTACAAAGTCATCCAAGTCTCGCCCTGCTTCATAATCTTCACCGGCTTTGTTTGACTTTGGGAAGAATTTTAATGTGGGGTAACCACTTACGCCATACCTGTGTAGTGTGAAGAGAGCACCATTTCATGTACCAATTGTGTCAAAATCATAGTGACATTTTTAGTCCACCTATTGTATAGTGGAAGGACTAAAAGTGTCAATTTGACAATACTCAGGGGACAAATGTGGGGAATTTTAGGACTAAAATTTGCATATGTAGAAACTGCACTCAAATGAATTCGAGTATAATAAGTATTTCTACATGTACAATCAAAGAGTAAAAGGAAGTTAAGTATCAGAAGTTAAGTTGACCTTATAGGATGGAGTATTCAATAAAAGTATAAAACACAACATTCTAGGCAACATGCATTCATGCAACACCCCCTACCCCACCCAAAGGCATGCAAAAGAGGACATACTTCTCTGCAAGATCCTTGAACTTGTCAGAATCGAGATTAGCAATGACCACGTCTTCATCCAGTTTAAAAGCCGTTGCAACCTTTTCGTAAGTCTACACATCATAGAGGAACCACAGATAAATTTTAATAATCTTAGAAGCAATTGTATATAGTACCTGTAAGAAACTAAGAGCTAAGTTAGCAAGGCACTTACTGGAGCAAGCTGTTTGCAATGTCCACACCTGTGGAAGGTAAAGATAATCAGATGAGAAGGGGGGAAATAATCAGTTTTACTTGACAGTTGACATAGCGCTAATTCAGTATTTCTCAACAGTTTGAAAGACATTGCCTATATATTAAGCAAACATAATATGAAGGATGCAGTGTTTCAGTTGAGGGAAACATCCAAACTGAATATGCTCACCATGGTGCATAAAACTCTACCAAAACATTCTTTTTCTCATTCAGGACAATCTCATCGAAGTTTTCAGCAGTTAACACTACAACATTTGACGGGGTTGCAGCAACCTTAACATTTGTTCCTGGACATAATAGAAACTTTATTGAGAACTGTGAATCTAAAAGCGTTCACTGCAAGTCTGCAACATAAGAGTAACTTAGGGCATTTTATTGTTTACTACAATATAATCATGTAGAACAAGATGAGAATAACTTTGTTTATACAACTATCAAGTGTAAGAAATAAGTGCATTGTACCAGCACAGTGAAATGCATCCACTTATGAAATACCAATTACATTTGAAGTAACCCATACAGTATTAAACAAGTCAATGGAGTTCAGATACAAGCTTTAATGCAAAACTTCTTCACAAAAACAATATTGTTTAAAGTGAATGGATTGATTTTCTAATTATTGCATTAAATAGTAACTAATTTCAAATGCAAAAGGAATTTACCCGCTTCACTGTTAACAAACTCTACAAGTGCCTCTATCGTTCGTGAACCTTCATACCTATGAAACAATAGATGCTGAATTTCAATATTTCAAAGGAGAAATGTACGAGAAAAGCATTCAAATATTACTAACAGGAAAGTAACCACATGCTAACACTCACTTCTTTGGCTCGAGAGACCCCTTAGGGAACCACTGAATTGTTGGGTACCCAGACACACCATATTTGCTACAAAGAGTCTTGTGTTCATCACAGTCCACCTATAACATTAATTACAAACTTTCAAATCATCTTACTTTTAATAAAACGGTAAACATTTAGCCTGCCTAGTAAGCGTTAAGTGAAGCAACAAACAAAAATATATGCTGCCATAGTTAAATGACTCAAATTATCAATAGTCATAAGTCATAACTAGTACTCCATGTTAAATTGTTATTATGCTGCAGAAAACAGGAATAGAGCTCAAAGTTTCATCCCAGTAAAAATACTGACCTTTGCGATTAAAGTGGACTTCGATTTCTTGAAACTTGCACCAAGCTTTTCGTATTCTGGAGCTAGCTTTTTACAGTGTCCACACCTGACAGCATATTTAAAAAGAATGAATCAGAGGATTAATACACAGGATATTCATCATATTGGTGGATTAATGGTTTCTATTACGGAGTACTTTATAATCTAGTTACTGCTTGTGGAGAAATACTTGGTAGTATTAATTAATTATTGGTTGTTTGAACGTGTAAAAGGACATACGCCAGTCTTCTTACATTACCTATTTATAAGGAGGAAGTGGTAATTAGCTACTACCTATTTCAGTGTAAATAAAATAAAAAAGTTGTGCAAAATTTCATTATTCTTGAAGCATACTAGTATTACATTATTACTGATAATTGTTTATTCAAGTAGTCTATTATTGTTGACAGTTGTTTTCCTCTGTATTTTATCAGAGCCATGCAAACTATGTTTTGCACTTTTGCCTTAACATTAATGAATAAAACCTAAATTTTTAAATTACTTTCGACTTTTCAATTCAAACAAATTTTATAACATTCACTTCTAATAATGTTAGCACAACATTGAAAAAGTATGTCACTCTCATTAATATTAATGTATCTAAGGGCATTGGCTGGATTTGGGGATGTTGAAGCAGAAACTATATACTATGTATGAATGAACAGACTTTAAAGTTTAAACATCGAAAAGCTGAAATGGTAACAGGCAAACATAAAATTACTTTAAAGGTCATTTTGTTTTATATGCAACAGGTTTTTAATTTAAACTAGTAAACTAACCCTAACTTTGATACAAGAGATCTACAAATTGTTCAATCGAAAAGCTACAATCCTAGCTTCCAAACTCAACTATTTTTCCTCAGCTGGCGGCCATTTCAGCCCATCACCAAAGATTCCAAGCGAGACTAAATCAATGGGAACTGACTAGGATTTAAACATTCCAACCCAAAATGGCTGAACTTTTCCTACGAAAGAGAAGCATCACAGTTTTTTAAACAGCTGCTTCTTTCAAATGATGTAATAAATTATTTGAATAGAACAAATAATTATATTTTTTTTGCGAGGTATAGTTATATTTTTTCAATCCAGATGATGTACGAACTTTAAGATGATCAAAAGAATTTTTTTCCTTTTCGCTTAATTTCAAATTGGGTTTTATGACTTACACTATCTGATCTAAAAAGCTCTTAACACAAATCATGATAATTTGTCCAACATGTAATCTGGACTGAAAATGCCAACATAGCAACGAACTCATTTGAAGAATTCCCAGAGTCTAACTGTTCAGTGTTCATTAAATGAAAAATAGCATTTTTGTTGACATTGGTCCTAGAAAAAATATGGAGTTCATATACACTTAAAGAAAAAACAGTTTTTACAATACAACTTATGGAGGAAAACAATCTTTGATCAATCAATTGAACATGTTATAAAACCCTTCCTTGTGCAGATCATGCAGCTTAGAATTTCGGATCTAAACCTACCAGTTTCATTAATCATAAATAAGTCAGAAATGCTCAGACCTGGATAGCACCGACTATTAAAAAAATGAGGATTTGAATCTGAGTTTTATATAATCTGTATCACCCATCCTTAAAAAGCTTTGCGAAATATGAGCACACTAAAATCGAAAATTAGAGAGAACGAATACGCACCAAGGTGCATAGAACTCGACGAGAGCTGCGCGATCCTGGCCGACCTCCTTCTCGAAGTTGTCTTCGGTCAAAATGACGACGTCGTCGGCGTAGGCCGCTGAAAAAAACAGAGCTACGATTGCTAATGCTGAGCATATCCGCGATTTCGACATTTTCTGTTGATTGTCGCCGGTGAATTGGCAGGAGTCTCGTCTAATATCAGGTATTCCTTGAGACTAGAAACCGATCTACGCCGAGTATATGAAGAGGATTGATCGGGTGACATTTCAAACTTGATGACATGATTTGACCAACTAAGCACCTACACGTGGACAGGGCAATTGGATCACACTTGGTCTTACAATTTTAAGGGGTGTTTGGATCCGATTCTCAAAACTGATTATGCTGTCTTAGGGAGCAGAAGCAGAAGCTGGAGTGTTTGGGTGAAATTCCAGAAGCACTTCTGGAACTCTAATTTAGTCTCAGAATCAGTTTTTTTAGAAGCTGGGAGGTACCAGCTTCTGAAAACTGATTCTGATTTTGCTTCTGCTTTTAAAAAAGAAGCAGAAGCAGAATCAGTTCCAAACACCCCTAAGCCTAGTAACATTTTTAAAGGAAAGATAATGATAATTATTGTGTAATATATATCTTCCTATTTGAAAGTAGGTAAGATGAAAAATAGTAAAAAGAATATAAATTATTGAGAATATGATGGAAAGATAATGAAATAATGTCTTTGAATGTAGGATAAATAAATAAATAAAATAGTTGTAATAGTGTATTATTTTCAAAATTATTGAGGGTGTGATGAGAAGATTTAGAAATGGGAAGGTATAAATGTTACGGACGAAAAAAAAAGTGAAAAGATATGAATGTTACAGAGAAAGTACATGATAAAAATAAATATTGTTAATAAAAATGTGACAGCTTGTGCACAATGATTACAGTAGTGGATAGTTTATATTCAATTTTTGCATTTAAATAACAATGACATGATGCCTCTTTCAAAAAAAAACAATGACATGATGCGTAGCTTTAGTTATATCTTTGTCTAGGAAGCACGAAAACTCTCCATGGCTCACGTTTCCACGTTTCGGAAACTCGGAAGCGTTTCAGAAACTCGGAAACTTCAAATTCCCGTTTCGGGGCCATTTGTAATTAAGAAAAATTTGGAAACCCGTTTCACTACGTTTCGGAAACCTCAGATTCCATTTTTTTTTCTTTTTCAAAAGATTCTGTGGTGGAAAATAATTTTTTATAGTGAATTTTTGTGGTATTTCTCAGCGGCAACACTTGTTACATTTCGTAACGCAATGTATTGCTAGAAATGTATTACTCCGTACATTTTATGTTTAATTATGTACTAATATGAAATAATATCTAAATTCGAACATGTATAGTGATTTTATTATTTGGTTTCTAAACAAATTATATTAAAAAACATGTGCATATGGAAAAACTTGTGTACATATATTAAAAAATATTTATAAATATATCCTTATATTTTATAATATTTACGCGTTTCTCCCACGTTTCGTGTCCTATATTTTTTAGAAATTACGTTTCTCGCGTTTCCCGTTTCACGTTTCCTGTTTCCCGTTTCCCGTTTCCGTGCTACTTAGATCTTTGTACATGAATTTTATTCATTAATATTTATGGAAAAAAACTTTTTTATAAAAAGATTAAATTGACTTTTCAATTATCACAAAATATCACTTTAACTCATCCACTAATAGAAGCATTGCTTTGTAAACACTAAAGACACCCTATATGACCGATTTACCGGAAGTAACCCTCTACACTGAGTTAAATGCAAATTTGAGTTTTTTAGATAATTCTCAATGTTGGAGTAAAACATGATAAAAAGGTAAAAAAAAAATAGGAGTAGTTATTCTATATTTCCAAGATATGATTTTTTTTTGTGCATGCAAAAAATTACCCTTGCCACTACCCACTGCTACAGTACTGCCGTCGTTGGCCATTGGAGCTCCAATGATCCCAAAAGAATCTAGATTTCCGCCGCTGCCGTCTGCCGCCACAAGAGCTCTAGCGGCCGAAAAAATCCAAATTTTTTCTGGCGTTGGTCTATCTGTCGCCGCAACCTCCTCCACCACCACCATCAGACGCCAAGACACCTACCCAAAGGAACTAGAGAGGCAATTCATTATATAACTTAGATTATAAGTATTGTTTTGGAGGCATCGGCTAACAGGTGAAAGGGCTCGTCGGAGATTGTCTTGCTCGACCGATTAGGAAGGGCCAATTTGGGGCGACTGGGATGCGAACGGTATAAGAATATGCGAACATTTGAGGTTCTTCGTCTCTGCTTCGTGAAGGTCAGAGTGAGTTCATCGGAGGAAGGTGCCACAGATACTTAGGTGAGGATCTTGTGCAATGGGAGCTGTCAGTGGCTTCAACGGTGGTCGTCGACCTGTGGCGGCTAGGGTTGTGAGGTCTAATAGTCCGATGCTTGCTTTGGCTATTTCGGCACTGTTGGTGTTTGTGATGAATGCTACACCAGCTATGTTTGATCCAAGCGGAACACTGGCGGTTTGGCGCCCGATGAAAGGGGCGAATCTGAACTCTAGTCAAGTGGTTGAGGGATTGGCGCGGGTGATTTGGTCGCCTCAGGTGGTGGAGGAAGAAGACGGTATGTGGATGTTTCGTCCCCCTCCTGAACCGCCGCCACAGAGGATCTGCGTGACTAGGGTATGGAAGACGTCGTCTGAAGTATGGATTTCGTTGTTTTACCAGCTGATATTGAGACAGATCGCCCCCCTCCTGAACCACCTTCGTTTCACAAAGATGTGATCGCATTGAGTTCTTTTTTCCGATGGCTGGTGAAACCGGAACAAATTCTACGCTTGGCTCCTTTTCGGTGGCTGGACAAATCGAAATGTTCAATAATTTATTTAAGAAATATTGTGATCGTAGCAGCCTAACAGCAGCAATCATTCTGCAGGTAGAGCCTACTTCTTTGCGGGATTAGCGATTTGGTGTTTTTTATTTGAATCGTCTGTTTCTATGTTTCATCTCATTGTAACCTTGAATTACATGATTGTGATTGTTCTTGTTATCTTTATAATAATACTAGTAATAATTAAGTTAATTCCTTTCAAAAAAGAATTATCAATTGGACGTAATGATTGAAGAGTCTCCGAGAATAACCCTATATTAAACACATTCTTGAAACTTTCAATTTAAATACTCAAAAACACTTATACTACATACATTCCACTAACATTGGGACATTAGAAATTGGTGCGATTACTAAGAAAAATGAGTCACTTATATGATTGACATGAATTGATAAAATAAGAATAACTTAAAACCGCAATAACTTTATCAAATTTGGTATACGACTAGAATAATAATAATGAGACGGAAGGATTATAATTTTATGGCCCCTTCAATGTAGTAAGCTGTGAGCCAAAACCGCACTCACCTATACACAAAGCCTGCTCATAAAATTGGGAAAAAAATTTGTAAAACAGAAAGATTATTAAGCAACAATTACAATCATAATTCACAATCAATTGACATGTGACATGCTATTGTAGCAAACAATACAATATGGAGAAAGTAATAAACAACAACAATAATAATAATAAAGAAAAATAAAAACCAAACTAGGTTAAACAAAGATAAAAATGATAGATATAATAAAAGGCTAAATAATGGAAGACGTAATAGAATAATTTAGAAAATACATACGGAGTAATGTTAGTCATAATAATAACAACCATAATATATAATAACGAGTAGCCTTCATGTCAGGCCGGCCTGACGGGATTCTCCGTCCGGCCGAGGGCATTTCGGGTACTTCCCGGTGGATTTTTTGGATGAAATTTTTTGGGCATGTTCTTCATCAAGTCTGGTTTCTCCATACCAAATTTCAGCTAAAAATTCAATCGGGAAGACATTCAAATAATTTCTTGAAGTTAACTGGGCAGTTCATACATATAAACTGGCCAGTTAACTTCAAGAAATTATTTGAGTGCCTTCTTGATTGAATTTTTAGCTGAAATTTGGTATGGATAAACTAGACTTCATGAAGAACATGCTCAAAAAATTTCATAAAAAAATCCCACCATGAAGTGCCCGAAATGCCCTCGGCCGGACGGCGGTTCTTGTCAGGCCGGCCGGACATGAACCGGACATGAAGATTTGTCTATAATAACATCGATAATGATAATAACTATTATTATTACTACTAGTTTAGTAACGCGCGTTGCGCGTTTGTGGTAATGCCCAAGGGCATTGTGAGATATTAATTCATCGATTTAGATTGAGTGAATATATGAGTAATATGAATAAAGAAGACTTCCAAATATCACAAATGTTTCGTGTGTAATATTTATTGAAGGGAAAAGGGGCAAATGAGCCCTCGAACAGTCGAACTAACCGAAAAAGTGCAAATCGCCCCTTTTATAGGAGGTTCTGTCCGGCCGTCGCCATTTGGGACGGTTCCCGGTGGAATGTTTTGATGAATTTTCATCTTCTTCATTAAGCCTAGTTTACCCATACCAAATTTCAGCTAAAAATGCAATCGGGAAGACAGTCAAATAAATGTTTGAAAATAACTGCGCAGTTAAACAACACAGTATATTTCAGAAAATCATTTGACTACCTTCCCGTTTGAGTTTTTAGCTGAAATTTGGTATGGGTAAACTAAACTTAATGAAGAAGATGCTAAAAAATATTCATAAAAAAATTCTACCAGGAACCGCCGCAAATGGCGACAGCCGGAGAGAACCTCCTATAAAAGGGGTGATTTGCACTTTTTCGGTTAGTTCAAGAGCTTATTTGCACCTTTTCCCTTTATTGAATACATCTTACCAAACTACATCCACAGATAAACAAAATATCAGATACTGGATCATAAAACTTGTTTCCAGCCGGGAAGAAAAGAAGTGTGGGAAATCCTCCCGCCTGCAAAGAATGCAATTTTTAATTCACACTAAGAGAATAAGAATGTCTGGAAGATTGGAGCTCGAAGGCTTGCTCAGCGTTGGCCTCTTTTGACATGCCACAAAAATGTTTTTTTATGTGAAAAGGGTCTGTTTCATGAAAGTGAAATAAGAACCAAGCCTAAACAAAACTTGTCCTCTCAAGATAAGGATTATACAGAAACTTAAATCAACCAAAATTAGAGTAATGCCCACAAAAAATAAAAGGATTTAATATATTGTTTGAATAACTTAATAATTTGATAAGGATAGCCACTAACACCTACCAAAAAAATGTTGTATCACTTTAAAATAATTTGACTCTTGTTAATCAACAACTTCAATTTTGAAAAACGATGCATAAATAGCACTTAATCTACGTCCACAAATTATTATACAAAAATGCACTTATCAAATCCTTAATCTCACCACCTACCGCGATTAGCCGACTAATGAATACAGGGATTTAATATATTGTTTGAATAACTTAATACTGCTAAGAGATTCTGAGAGGAGAAATAGACTTACTTTAGTATTAAAAATGTGTCATTTTAAAAATGTGTTGAGCCAACACACATTTTTCTCTTTATTTTGTGTGGATATAAATAAATGGAAAAGGTTATGATAAAGAAAGTGAATGTCCTCAACCAACAGAGAGATTTCTTTTGAGATGATGATGTGTGATGTCAGGGCCGGTCCCAAAGAAATGTAGACCCTGTGCGGGAATAAAATTTGGGCCTTTTTTCAAGTTGCAATGCAAGCAAATTGTCTTAAAATACAACTTACGAATAAACATAATAATAAAAATAGTCATTAATAACTTACAATTTATTTAAAAAGAGATATTCTTCAAGCATATTTAGATTTACACAGGGGATTTTGGGCTGGGGTATAATATTAAATTTTTTTTTTGGGCCCTTCAAAAATCCGAGCCCTGTGCGGTCGCACTTGGCAGACATGCCCAGGGCCGGCCCTGTGTGATGTATGCACAGATGCAACAAATTCATTTCAGCCATGATACAAACTCATTCACTTATAAATCAAAATGTTAGGGTTAACATTCAATTCAGTATAAAACAAAGCCACGAGGAGAAGATTGAGAGTTCCTAACCCTTTTGATTAATTGGACGAATTGGGCGTCTTTTGCACCTTTTTGGCGGAAGAGTATAGAAGAAGAAGAGGGAATTGGGAGAGCACGGAGGGAGTAATGACATAAGAAAGTGAGATAAGATAAGGATTATTGCTTGACCTTCCAGATGCCTATGAATAATATAATGAGCAACCCATATTCCTATAATTATTACTCCCATTAAACTCTCATTAAAGTACTCCGTATTTGAAATGCCTAGATGGGGTTAACGGGTGTTAACGGAGAAAAGCATAGTTATGTACAAATCTCATATCCTGAAGTACCACCCTATAAAACATCAAGGTACACCAACACATTTTCTATGACTATTACACCCCTAACATTATTCATGCTTATAAGATGGTAGATTAGCGTTAGTATGTCTATCCTTATAAGAAGGAAAACAGTAAAGAGGACCAACTTCTAGAAATAAAATGTATCAATCGAACTAAAAAATTAGAGAGACAAGGTGCATGGCCTCATTGATTATCCATGAATGAAATTTGTCATAATATTTATAGGCAGGAGGAAATAATTGAACACCAATTGCGGCATCTGTATGGGGAAAATCGAAGAAATAATTACTGTAAGAAAATGGACAGGTAAAATGTGAGTACGACTCGCATGAAAATGGATGTGCACAAGTGTCCGTGCACAAGTGTCAATGTGAGGAAGACATGCAGGGAAATGCCGGCGCGAAAGTGTTGAATGTGAAGAAAGGGCTTGAAGGACAACACGAAGCAGATGGAGATTAGACCGTTGTTAGGATTGTTCACCATATTCCTTGCAGATAAATTTAAACAACACATGATAACCTTGTGTGTATTATAAGATCAAAACTTTCCCAATCTCTGGAGATTATATGAAAACTTCACTTGGCTGGCCCTCAAGACTCCAGTTAGCGAAACTGATGTGTATAGCCTCCATGCCAAGGCATAGAAGGTACAGCAGCCTATATAACAAAAGAATGCATGGCTTAGCATTTACCAGACCACAAAAATTTCAGTCCAATTAAAAACATCCTAAAAATAGTTTTCTTCTTACAACAAGAATATTGTGTGAAGGCTCTGTTCGGCATCATAACATTTTGTGTCCTGTTTTTTATAAGTAAAACAAAACAATAAAAAACAACAAAAGTGGTTTTCAAATATTTGTTAGTAATTTTAAAAAGGGTATGATAAGTATGACTATGAGTATAATTATTTTTGCTTTATTATAAAAGCTATTTGTACATCCTCCAATAAAGTCATTAAACCAAGAACTGAAAATTGGTAATGATGCCAAACAGGCTCCAAGAAAATGGTTGACACACTTGCCAACTCCCCCATTCTGTCCACCTTTTTCTGACGTGTAGTATTGTAGCTCAAATTTTTGCCACATGGTTGGGTATATATACTACACTTTTATGAAGCACAAAACAATATGTAGGAGAAATGGAGAATAGAAATTCAAACTAAATGTAGTTAATTCCGAACATCCACAAACATGTTTTCAAATTACTAATGACTGTACGAGATGGTTGTAGTTGTTAAAGGGTCTCACCTCTCTAAATTGATAAGGAGATGTGCGAGCATCAGGCACAATGTCAGGTCTGCTGCTACTGCAAGGATGGAGTTGCTGATGAACCAACCCTGAACCAATTCCTAAGTTAACCGCTCCTTGTAACAACAATCCGCTAAAGGGTCTGTGAGCAGATGTAGAAGGTTGGTTTTGAAACGGTTGCATACTAAAATGGCTGGATGCTTCAGCAAAAGCATTCCTACTTTGCGATAAAACGGGGATACTACTACCCTGCAACCTTCTTCCATGAAGGAAGGAAACATGGGTTTGAGGAGCTAACCCTGTAATCTGAGAGCCAAAAAGATAATTCCCTGTGACACCAGCTGGAACCCCAGTAGTTCTATTGTCACCCCCCTGTCTCATTCTGTCATTGAGGATGAGGTGTATTTGGCGTTGTATCCTTCTCCTGTCCGAAACAGTTGCGGCAGTTCCTGATGGTGGGAAAGCAGTTCTGGGAGATGGAACATTAAAAACTTCCTGGTTTAATGGAGTCTCAGGTATGTACATCTCATTTAAATCAAAAGAAGACTCTCTCACATTTGGCATGTGGAGGGGTGTAGGTGATCTGACAGAGAAGCTGCTTGTTCTACTCTCAGAAGGAAGATTCAAATTTCGTTGGTTCAGAGAATCAAGAGCAGTTGTTGGTCTACAGCCCTCACAGTACCAATTCCCTTCAGGTACTTCATGCCCAAGACCAACACAATAAGTATGTGCAGATGAATCACAGAGATCGCAGAGAAGCATTAGAGCATCATCCCCACCTTGTTGACATTCAGTACAAATGACATTTTCATATGGATCAAGATACCCCCTAAGTTCCTCTTCAGATGGTTGATATACCTATAAATAACCAACCACACAGGTTAAAAGAATAAAAAAATACTAAAAAATTGCAGCTCAAATAGTTGGAAGAAAAAAAACTGACCAAACTACCTGATCACGTTCAGAGACTTGAATAACTACAGTCCTTGAATCTAAACAAGTGTTTGATTTTGCAGGCTTGCTGATCGTGACAAATCTTTGCTTGCAGAGGGGGCAACGAGACTCAACCTTTGACCACTCCGTGATGCAAGCGAAGCAGAAGTAGTGGTTGCAACAATTCAAAGTTCCTCGAACTCTTCTTTTACCTTCTTCAGACAAACAAATTCCACAAACCTGCTTTCCTGCTTCAGTCTTCCAATCTTCTACCTTCGCCTTATCTTTTCTTCTTGACCGCTTCTTTTGAAGCTGTGCCCTTTCTTGTTCCAATAAATCCTTTGGGACAACTGGACACCTCCAACTAGAAGTCAAGCCACCACAAAATTCACCAGCTTCTCTAACTTGTTCTCTCTCTTCTTCAGAGATACTGTACACATAGTCCAAGGGCCCAGAATTTCTAGAATCCGAATCTGAATGTACAATTAGCTTCTTACTCCTCTCTTCATTAGTGATCTTATCCGTTTCTTTTTCAGAGGTAATACTATTTAACTTCACATCTTCATCAACTCTTCCTCTCTTCTTCACTCCGCATTTACTTCTCCTTTTCCCCCTTGTGATCTTCATTGAGACTTCAGAGGTAGTAGTGTTACACTGTTTCCCTTTAGCAATGCCCTTGTCTAGACATGTCCGGTGGAGCTTCCTACTCCTTCTCATCATGGACATACCATCTTCTTCTTCATCAAAGTCATCAACCTCAACTAGAGTGGAGTAATATTCATCATCATCATATTCTTGTCCTTTGGAAATGCCTCTTTGCAACCGCGTCTCGCTCTCCGATGGAAAGAGAAACTCTTCTTCTTCTTCATATACACCATCAACTTCATCAACCTCATTTGGTTTAAATTCCTCGTCACTGTCATCATCCTCTTCACTTTTGGCAATTCCCTTATGTAATCGTCTCTTTCTCAACTTCTTGCTGCTTTTGATCACAGGAAACACATCTTCCTCATCATATGCACCATCAACCTCATCTATTGTGAATTCTTCATCAGCAGCCTCATCGTAATCATCATCATCATCATCTTCTTCTTCTTCTTCTTTCATATTGGGAATGCACTTGCGCAATCGCAGCTTACCAGACTTTTTGTTTGTCATAGGCAGTGCTTCTTCTTCTTCTTCTTCAGCATCTGTACCATCAACATCATCTGGTGTGTATTCAGTGTCATCATCTTTGGAAATGACACTGTGCAGACGTGTCCGGCACAACATTTTATTCCCATTTGTTATGGTCAACTCAGCTTCATCATGTACACCAAGAACCTCATTTGGTTTAAAGTCCTCATCATTTTCGTCATCATTGTCATCGTCTTCAGCATCAACTTCTTTGTATGAAACTCTTTTCCTTTTTCTAGGTCTTACAGATCTCTTTTTCTTTGTCCTTGATGCTCTTTGTCTAACTGCATTCCTCGCCTTCTTCCTCTTCGCCTCTTTCTCTTTTTTAACATCTGTGTATGTACCTACACACTCCTCAGACTCATCTTCGATGAAAGAGGAGTATTCATCCTCTGATTCATCACACTCATTTTCATCAATCATGTAATCCTCATCAGACTGATCAGAATCTATACACTCAGATCGTGCCTTCTTCCTACCATTGCTTTGCCTGGCCATCTGACCATGCAATCATGCATCTATCAGAGCAGATACCACAGCTTTTGCAGGATCATATCATAATGTAGCCCATTTGTCTTGTCTTGGTATATGAAAGGGGGTGAAAAGAAACAATTAAACTTGACAAGAACAAGCACTTTATATGGTCACTTGTCAAAAAGGTGGGGGGAATGCCATCCAGAAGCATCCAGTTTTTTCAAGTCCTGTGTCTGGAACTCATAAATACGGGGAAATATATAGTAAGAATAGAGAGAACTAGAGGATTTCAATTGACAGGGATAACTTCTGGAAGTCACAATTGATCAGAAATTATAATTGGCATATGATATTATTCCAACAAATACCTTTTCCTGATCAAATTCAAAATATCTGGGCTCAGGTACTATATGGCAAATAATCTTTTTAAATAAAAACCTATATTTAACACAGATATAGGTCTTATCATTTTTCACTTCAAACAACTGCCTCAGTGAAGCCACAATCTATCTATGTGGTTAAATAAATTGAAAGTTCAGATCATAAAATTTACTGCCTTGTGGTGCTACACTAAAATTCATCCCTCCACACTATCATTTAAAAGGGAGCAATCAAGTATGTGAAGAAAAAACTTCTACCATTCAAAAGTAATCCAAGATCGAGATGCTTCTCGACAGATGATCAACTTCAACAATAAGTCAATAGCCCTAAATTCCTGATCGTACAAAGCCAATCAATTGAACAAAGGTCGAGCTAATTTTAAAGCGAGCGGAATAAAAGAAACCAACATACTATAATCCCCGTATATAACAGCTGTTCAGCAGAAGAAATTGAAGTTCAGACTAATCTTTCCAAATGAGAAAGGTACCTGAGAAAGAAAATCCCCAACATAGAAATTAACAGCTCAATTATAGACATTCATACAAACACGTATGCATATACATCTCTCGGCGATGTGGTGAAATCCGGAGTGAAAGCCCCTTGGAATACAGTATACATTTCTATTGATGAATTCAGGAAAGAAATGATGTGTTATATGATACACATAACAATATGTACGCATAGAATGTTTGTATGTATAGACGCGTTTAGGAAGCGTCTTAAATGGGAAGAGGCGTTGGTTTTCTTCTATTCTATAAAGAAAAAGAAAGCAATAAACTATCTCACGGCCGTTTTGCAGGCTTCCTTTGGACTTTTATCTTTGTGAGGTGGAGTTACTAGTCTAGTAGTCTTTAATCCAATGTCAAAAGAAATTGTCCTAAAGAGAATAAATAGGAGTAAAATTAATGGAGAATTGCATATGTACACAAAAATTAGTACACAACTCTCCTAATCGCATGTATATACAAGCAATTCATTTTAAAAAAGGCAATATTTTATGCCAAAATGCATGCGTACAGGGACGGAACTACGTATTGGGTGAGTGGGGCCATTGCCCCTCCCAATTTTTTATTTTTTAAATAAAAATATTACTATTACAAAAAATTGCCCCCCCATAAAATTAAGGAAGACTCTAGTACTACCAAATTATATGGCTTTTTAAGAATACTTATCCTTGGCCTATTATCATTATATGAAAACTAATAATACATATTATTAGATGTCCTATTAAATTTTACTCCGTATATAATACTCCGTAATACATATTATATACTACATAATACTTCATCCGTCCCTTAAAACTTTACCAACTTTTCTTTTTAGATATCCCATTAACTTTGTCACTTTCCCCTTTAAGTAACGAATTTGTAGTTCCTGTTAATACTCTCTCCTCTGCACAAACCTCAACTACACAACTTTTACTTTATTAATCCTGGTGCCGATCAAACTTGACAAAGTTTTATAGGACGGAGGGAGTACTTGATGAGTATATTACTGCAAATACAAGTGGAAAACATACTTGTGCAATATTTTTAATATATATGATTAATTTTAGGCTAAAGGGTCAAATAGGTACATGAACTAACTTAAAGTGTTCAATTAGTCCCTTATACAGGAGGTTCTGTCTGGCCGTCGCCAATTGGGGCGGTTCCTGGTGGAATTTTTTGATGAAATTTTTTGAGCATTTTCTTCATTAAGTCTAGTTTACCCATACCAAATTTTAGCTAAAAATTCAACTGGGAAGGCAGTCAAATGAGTTTTTGAAGATAACTGCGCAGTTAAACAGCGCAGTACATTTCGGAAAATCATTTGACTGCCTTCCCGATTTTATTTTTTGCTGAAATTTGATATGGGTAAACTACACTTAATGAAGAAGATGCTCAAAAACTTTCATCAAAAAATTCAACCGGGAACCTCCCCAATTGGCGATGGCCGGGCTGAACCTCTTATATAAGGGGCTAATTGAACACTTTAAGTTAGTTCATGTACCTATTTGATCCTTTATTTCAAACACTTTAGCCCCTAATTTTATGTTTATTTTTTTTGTTTCTCTAATTTCAAATACATTCATGTTTTACTTAAAAATTGTGTACTAGATAATAATATTTTATTAATGAGTAAATAAAATATTTTTACTTTACAAATTTAATCATGTATATATATATATACAAATATTGTGTTGACCGGGTTAACCCTCCGGGTCTGGGTTGACGCTTGACAAGATCATTTGTCCGGGTCGCCTCCCGGTCCGGTTGTTTAAACATAGATTATACCCCCCCCCCCCCCTCATACTAAAGTCTGGCTCCGCCCCTACATGCGTACACAAGCAACATACAATTTGTGTACAAATTTTGGGTACAATAAGAATTACCCAAAATTAATATTCCATATGATTTTCCCTTGATTATTATTCTCTCTAAATATCAACAATTATTGTCTTCTTAAAAAATATTATGTACAATTATTAGGACAATAATACTAACATGTTTATGTTTAATCATGTCATTATATGAGCTTACGACTTTATAATGACATTATTTTATTCCTATTTTGAGGGGGAAATTGCTCATATTTAAAGTAAATCGCCCTTTAATTACTTATATTATTGAGAAATTTATGGTCTCTACCATATTTATTCTTTCATATGTCAAACAAAACTTGCACATTATTATATTTAATACGGAATAGTATTTATATGGTTCACATTTACTTATATTTTAATTATACTCTAGATTAGTATCAATAACATAATTCTAATTTTCTACTTCATTTGTCACAAATTAATTCGCAATTTGCGGTTTTAAGATTGACTGTGATAAAATAAAATTATCCATGTGAATAGTTACACTTAAAAAGTTATATGTTGAAACTACATCGAGAGTTCTCTAAAGCCGTGAAATCTAAATTCGAACATAGTAAAAATGGATGTGTTAAATAAGTAAATTAAATTAAATTGTGTTAATCAAGAAAAATGTGAATCATTTTGGGGCAAATGAATTATCACTTTCACATACTTCAATTATTATACAAGTAATATACTCCCTTCCTCTCTTAAAATTTTGTCAACTTTTCATTTTTAGTTGTCTCACTAACTTTGTCATTTTCTCTTTTAAGTAAAGAATTTGTGGTTCCATTTATTTCTCTCTCCTCTGCACAAATCTCAATTGTACGGTTTTTACTTAATTAATCCTCTGCTGGCTAAACTTGACCAAGTTTAAGGGACGGAGTGATTAATACAGAGTGACAAGCTATTAGTAGCTAACTTTTTACTGAAGATTATTTTCTAACTTGCCAATATTCAACTGGTTAATATGGAAAAGAGATAAAGTTTGAGTAATTTTTTTGCTTTTCATGGCTTATATATACAAAGTATTATTTGATATGGAAACTGTCAAATAATACACCCTTCACCGTACCCCTAGAATTTTGTCATGTTTGATTGACATGAATAATACTCCCTCCGGTTCTTTTTAAACTTCAGTGTTTGACTTCACAGTTATTAAGGAAATAAAGTTGACTTTACTGTAGAGTACACTGTTGAGACACTGTTTGACACTGTTGAGACACTGTTTGGCACTGTTGAGACACTGTTTGACACTGTTTAGCACTGTTTAACACTGTTTTGATGTAGATTTCTTTGCCAAATAAGGAAATAAGGAAGTGTGAAGTTTATTTTGGACCGTCCCAAAAAGGAAAATGTGAAGTTTATTTAGAACCGGAGGGAGTAATAAAATAAAATTGTGTGGGTGAAACCTATGTAAAATAGAGAGAAATAACAAAAACCGCAAATTAATTGATTAAAAGATAAAGTGATAAAGTTTTTAGGACAACCAACAAAGGAAAAATGGCAAAACTATAAGGGGCGAATGAAGTATATTCTTACTCTTTCCCATGCTCAAGTGACATTGTACCTTTTGTTAAAGAAAACTTCGATGCACTAACCAATGACTATGAAGCACGAAAATACATGATTCTAGACGTTCAAGGTTCCTATGACTCATATCTCTGTCAGGTCCGACATACCTAAAAATACATATTAATACGTTTTTGGACCATGTCATACAACAAGAACCAAGCTTTATTCCCAAAGATTTTGAGGTCGGCTAACATGAATCGATCCGCGATATCAGTGCCAAATAGAAAAGAAAGATAAACAAAATAAAAATATAAGTTAAGATATAAAAGGATAAAATTAAAATAAATATAGGATAAAGGAACATAATGTGTGTCTATCTTGTGCTACCGTACTAGTTCAAAATTAAAATTGAAAAAATAAAATAAAATTCCAAATATAAAAAAAGGACATATAAATGTATTGAAGGATAATTGTTGATTATTTTTTTTCTAAGAATATAAAAATGTAAACCATTAAGCATCATTTGTGAATTTCCTATTTTTTTAATCCTGGTGTTAGCCCATCAATTGTGCTCTGTTCTAAAAATCGTTCTAGGCGCCCGACTAGTCCCCGCCTAGGCGCTAGGCGGTGGTTGGGCGCCCCGATTTTTGTCTAGGCGCTCCGACTAATTGGTTTGCCGTCTAGCTGAATTAGTCGGCCGCTTATATGTCTAGTTGCCCGCCTAGAGCGCTTAAATGGCCGGCTAGGCCGTCTAGATTCACCGGACATTACTTTACTTTTAAATTTTAATTTTTCAAGCGATACACACACTTTAACTTTAGTCATGGATATAAAGAAATGAAGTTGTAAATTATGATAAAACTATACATGTTTGTATATGTACCTAAATTTTATCATTATTTATATTTATAACATAATGAAGTTAAGTGATTAGTTATCATATACTACGTATGATTAAATGTGATAATTATATCTTTCATGTTTGTTAATGTATATGTATATATGTATTTTATACACACAAAAATACAATATTCCTTAATCATATTTATGCAAAAATATAGATAAAAATGCAATTTCTATGTCTCCGACTAGTCACCGACTAGACGCACGCCTAGCCGCCTAGGCGCTGAACTGGCGCCCGACTAGCGCCTAGCGCCTTTTAGAACATTGGTTGTGAGGTAAGGGCCGGGGAACACCTTACCAATCAATAAAAACAAGAACAAGGTAGGGGGGCTAAAGCTAATACCTACCCGAATTAACAATGTATGGATAACTAGTTGTGTCAAACTTGATAATGCCTACGAACATACTATAAATGTCTGTATGACGATAATCAAAAGCGTCAAAATATTTTGCAATGAAACTAGCTACTCGTTTACATGATTTTTTAATATGAGTAAAACTAAGATTGTTATTCTGAAACACTTCTTTAAAACTTCCAAGTTGGCAATCGCTTCCACCTCGGTCGCATCATTCCGTTAAGCGTTTTAGTATATCTGTCTATTCAACTTATAATAGGAACTTTTAACTTTAACATTCTATAATATATTACTTTAACATCGAAATGTTTAGTGACAATTATCCTTTAAATAATTTATTTCTACACATAAATTAAAGTATCTGTGTATATTTGCATATATTATCAAATCCGTTTTCGAGTATCCCCATATCTCTGTGTCTCTTGCCCGTGCAGCATAGGCCAACGAGAGGGATTCCCTCTAGTAGTTATTCTAAAGAAGTTGTCTAAACTGTGTCCCCAAATTACATCAATCTTTTTTACTTCTCTATTTCTTTGTCTGCTTTTTCTCTTATTCATCTAATTTCTTCCTCTTCCACTTATTTAACTATTGTTTAAGGAAATATATGTGAATTCATATGTGAAGGTAAGAAATTTTATTTGAAGCAAAATTTAATATGTGAATTCATATGCAAAGGCAACAA